GCACCGCCAACATAATTTGTACAATCTCATATTCAGTACAGGATGGTCCAGATGTCTTGCGACTCCTAATTCATTGATCCCTAATATTTTTATTTTATACTAGCGGGAAGTACCCGGCGTTGCCCGGGTCTTAAAAATATTTCAAAACTACTCTTAAAAATCTAACAGCAGTGCGTACTGACTGTGGGGGTACCTGCTATGATTCAAATAGTGCATACTGTGGTGGTACCTGCTATGATTACAGCAGTGCATACTGACTGTGGTGGTACCTGCTATGATTAGAGCAGTGCATACCGACTGTTGGTACCTGCTATCACTACAGTAGTACATGCTGACTCTATTGCAGTATTTATCGACTCTATAGCACAAAGTACTCACCTGACAGTGGCGTGGTGAGGCCTAGTCCCGTGCAGAGCCTCCGGCCTCGCCTAGATTGTCCAGCCGACCGAGGTGGCACCATAGCAGGCTGGGGCTGGGCTGCTACCCCTGACACCCCCCCCCCCCCAGGCACGATGTCCCCGGCCGTTCTGCAGTAATATCTACGGCCTATAGTGGTAGCATCTACCGACTGTATAGTAGTAATAACTGCACGCATCGGGGTGGGGTGGACATGAGAGCATTTAGTGAAATTTTTATAGGATTTTTAACGCGAAAGAAAATGTCCCCCTCACTCCCACTGAAGGCGTGCGACTTGGCATGGGCTGCCCCCCACCAAAGGCGCGTGAGTTGGTATGGTCGTGCAAGCGTCATAAATAAAAGGGAATCGCACAAAAATAGCACTAAATCGCTAATTAATCTAATTTAAAGTTGACGGATGTAAAAAGGAATAGCGCTTGCTCACCGCGGGGCTTACGGCGTGGTACCTCGCTATTTTTTTTCACGTAAACTCCACCGTTGGATAGCCAAGCGCGCAACCACACACAAACCCCGCCACAAACAAACCCCACCACAAACCCACACACAACCCCGCCACAAACCCACACACAACTTTTTACTTTTATATATATAGATTGCTTACATTACATACCCATTGGTGTACAAATATTAAAATTTAGAGAATTAAATGTGGGTCACAAGACATGTGGACCACCCTGGACTTAGCGCCCCCCAGTGTCGTAGCGAGGGTTGGGGCCCAGTGGGGGGCGAGACGGGGTGGAGTGGCCACCACAGGTGCTCCGTCATTATCGGTGTCCGAAGTATTTTGACTGGAGGCGGGAAGGAGGAAGGGGGGATGGCACCCTAGGTACCAATGTGTCTGGTTCCTCTCCAAGAGGTAATGAAATCGTGACCCACGCAGAAAGGTAACGTTTAATTTTGTTTTGTATTAATGACATTAAATACAACAAAATACATTCTGGATTTAGGATTCATATAGTGTCTAAAATCAATCGCACTGCACAGGAATGGTAGGGCAGGCATCATTATAGTCGTGGAGGGCAGCAGATGTTAGGCTTTGTTTTTGTTTTTGAATGTAATCATCATCTACATCGAATGGTATTCAATTAATGCACCAATGGGTTTTCTGATGCAACGTGAATCCCGGTTGGGTTTTATTTACAAAGCAAGGAATAACAAAAGCAATGGGCTGGGTTTGACTTTGTTGACCCACATCAACGGTGATTGGCCTTTTCCACCGACGCCATTACTGCCTATTTATTTATAGCATTGTGTTCCAGCCGAGAGAGGCAGTCTATTCAGTGATGGACTACTCAGTGTTCCCAAGGGGGTTCTTATTTCAAATACGCACGCGCATGGCACCGTTCGGAATAGAACTTGCATTGGTTTTTTTTCCTGGAAGTTGGGAATTCTATCTCGAGTCATAATGAAAACGCACACACTCGCGCGCACACACAGTACCCGCCGTCATCTCGCCGGCGCTATTTTTAACGGGGGTGACCCCCGCAGAGACGCTCGCATTTGATGAGCGACTGGCACATCTCAGGCTCCGATCCAGATGAACGGTGCCCAAAATAATTAGTTGGGGCAAGCGACCTTGTTTGGCACCAATGGCCAACAGCCGCCCATACCAACAAGCCTATGCCCCTCGTCCTGCCCTGGTCAAATCACCTAGCATGCCCTTGTGGCTAGCAGACCTGGACATTGGCATTCATCACCCCATATACGCAAGGATAGAATAGAACGTGGCACGTCCCCTATCTTATCAGGTTCTCGGAAGCTTAAGCAGAGTTGAACCTGGATGATGCTTTGATTGGCGACCACTGCACAACAGGTTAATGTGGAGCGGCAGGACTTCGTGGTCGCGGAAGAAGGCAGTACAGCAATATACACGTTGTAATTATTTCTATACATCTACGTTACATGCTACTTGCCTTCATGGACTCCCTCTACCTAGCGTGGTTAATTAAATGTTTTCAAATCATTCCCATGATCCGTACAGGCCTCCGGAAGCCCTCATCCTGCAGTGTGTTGACAAACAGAGCTGTCTCTCTGCTAGTCTCTAGGGGGACGGTGACAAGTTGGGAAGAAGTGGTGGAAATTTCATATTGCTATGGCACAAAGTGGTACCTGGCCATTTTTATTCACATATACCCCACCGTTGGAGAGCCAAGTGCGCGATCACACACAAACCCACACACAAACCCCGCCACAAACCCACACATACATTTTAACTTTTATATATATAGATAAGGCTACCACCACGCTGAGTACAACTGCTGAATTTCTTATATTCACTCGCTGACAGTCCATTGTCAATCAACTGCTTGATTAAGGCCTCCCCACGTCTAAGTTCTAGGGGTTGGTAGTGAGCGACCTAGTATGAGCTCAGATATCCCTTGCCACTAATGTTAGCCATGGCTGGGAATCAAACTCAGGTCGCCCGGTTCATAGTGCAGTGCGCTCACAGCTGCGCCACCGCCCACCCCAAATTATAGAATTAGTGCTAAGAAATTAAAGCGAAATAATGTATATTTTGTATAAGTGAGCCAGTGGAATAAATTCCACATTACTATGGTCGAGAGCTAATACATCCAGAGCATAAGCGGCACTGAGATTAAAGTGATAAACGTCAGCGTCTGGTTTCGATAGGCAAGTATTTTTGGAATTACCACAGTCTCTGGATTATAAGATGCAATCTTTCCCCTTATAATTTAAAGGAACATTTGGGGTGCATTTTATCGTCTAGTCGGTGTGCGTGTGAGACCAGATGCATATCATAACTTTTATTGACACGGCGCAAAAGTTTTAGGGTTTGTCTTACTTTCCGGGGCGTCTTATAATCCAGAGAGAACGACAGTAATCCTGGAAATGGGTGTACAAAGTTTTATGGGCTGAATGCCTTGAGATGTAGAGCACTAATAAGTGAGTCTGTGATTCTAGCCGTGGTTATATAAAAATCCAGTCTGCATTTCAGAATCATATCCATTCACATGCAAATTAAATCATTACACGTTCCATGTCTCATTATTGGCAAAAGTGAAAAGCCTGTATCGGGGGGGGGGGGGGGGGGGGGGGTGGGGGGGGCTTTGAAGACTGCACAAAAAAATCTCTGGCACTGTATGAACCTGAATTTCTATGGCAAAATAGGCAAATCTGGGAACAAATAATAATTTACTCAGAGAGGCCTTATTGAATCTCAACTCTTCTTTAAGATTAAACAATTGTGTGATGCTGCTGCGTTGGCAGTTGATGCACAAGCATAATTAACAACAACAACAAACGCAACACATTTATCAATAACACTGCGGCCTAAAAAGTTAAAAATGTGTAAAAGGCGACATTTTGGAAAATGTGCCTTCTTCATGGCACATACATCGAGAGGTCAGAGTTGAAGAGTGCACTCCTTAAGACCATTCAACCTCATGAGATTTTCAGATACTGTATATATTTGTAATGTTTTTTGATGACCAGTTTTTTAATTGGCACGTGAATATTTACCTAATAATAGCTCTTGGGTAACAAACCCTCAGCATCTCCTTTTGTGTGATGGGAAATGCTTGTAATGGGACGTCTAGTTTTGGCGATCGACCCAGTAGCTTCACGAGATGCTATGTGGAGAAATAAAGTTCCTTCCCCAACAGATGTCATTAGGCAGATCACACAAAAGGGAATAAAACTCAAATATCCACACATACTGATTCACAAAACCGTTTGGTGTACCCTTTTAACTCCCGGCCACTGTGCAGTGACGACTGATTTGGGATATTCACAAATCTCTGAGAACCAACAACCGTTGCCTCCAAAGCGTTAGATTTTGAGAAGTTTGGCCGTTACTTTTTACACCAAAACATCCGAAATACATCGCAAACAGAGGGGGGTATTTTCGTGTCAAAATGAAAATTCCATAAATCTCACAAATACGCAAATCAGCATGGAGACGTTAATTATAGATATTCTTCTGAGACAGGAAGATGAACAATGGCTTAGATACAGTGACTATTAAACTAAGTCGATGGACACATGTCATGGCTAAAAGTGAGAATGCAGTGGACCACCGGTGGACATGAGTTGAATATCTTGGTGCATTTTGTGTGAACGTGGGGACCCACTGAGTGTGTGCGCGTGTGTGATGCCGTGTGTCATTGTCTTTGATGTTGTGGAGTGTGCTACGAATTCGGCGACCCGGGTTCGATTCCTGCTCATGGTCAACACCAGTGACGATTATCTGAACCGGTCCTGAGCCTCCTCTAGGTTGACTCGGCCTCAAATGAGTACCTGGTGCGGTGTGAACATCGCCACTGGGGATACAAAGGCGGCCCGGCTTGGTGCTGGCCACACACTCCCTCGTGTGCCGTGCCGGCCTTCATAGGTGCTCCTTGCTAACAGCACTTGCCCCAACAATCTGTTTAGGCTAAACGGGGAATATTTGTCTTTTATGTGTGTGACGCTGCGTGTGTGTGACGCGTGAGTGACGCCCCGTGTGTGTGTGACGACGCGTGTGTGTGGCGCGTGAGTGACGCTGCGTGTGTGTGACGACGCGTGTGTGTGGCGCTTGTATGGCGCGTGAGTGACGCTGCGTGTGTGTGTGTAACGTCGTGCAGCAGGTAACTGCTGGCTGCAGCAGACACGCGCCGGGCGGTGCAAGGAGCTGTTGCGTGCGGGCGTGTCGCGGGACGAGTGTTGCCGCGCTAGCGGGCCCGGCGCCGGCTTCACGGCGGGCGACCCCTCCTCGGCCACGCTCTTCCGCTGGCTCGCGCTCACCGGCGGGGCGCCCAACTGCACGCCCTGCAGAGGTGGGGCGAGGGTGGGGGGGCTGCAGCGACGGGCAGTGTCTGAATCACACGCGTGTTTCTCATGTGTAATTTCACCGTGTAGTCGGTAATTGGTTGTCTTCAATTACGTAGCAAAATTAATTTGAAATGTTGTACTGTGTCTGCATCACACTGAGGTTAGTAATTTGTAATTTACATGCAATTTGGTAGTGGAAGGTGGCAGCCTTGGTAGGAATGCGTCCAGGGATGTACCTCTCCCTGTGGCCGTGGCTTCTGAACACTCCGGCCTTCGAGCGACCTGGAAAATGTTAAGTGACGAATTAATGTGGGAATACCACTCCCTGCCCGCGCGGCCTCTGCCTCGTTAATGGAAGACGCGACCAAAATAAACAATTGCTCTTACCCAGTCGGTGCCCAATCAAACAGCCCTTGCAGCTGCATGCCTAGGCCGTGCAACCCAGGCTGCCTGACATGAGTTCGAAGCTCTGGTAAATAGACAAAGGTCATTAAAAGTTATGAGCGCGGTATTATGGGAATCTCGTGACGTTACTCAGTCCCTCCAGAAAACGCGGAGTTTTTTGGTGATTGTTGCGGGCAAAAATCGTTGATTATGCGGCACGTTTCTTAAAAATGCGATGGATATGCGGGATATTTATGCAATTTTATGCGATTAAATTGCGGGAACTTGCAAAAATTGCGGGAACTTGCAAAACTGCGGTTTGATGAAAAAGAGAAAAAAAGAGTGATTCCCCCAACACCCTATTCACTAGGCTATTACTTAATGTAAAGAGTCATTTCTTATTACTTCCTATGATAAGCAAGCATACTACATCACAGAAAGTGCTGGGAATATTTAAGTTCTCATCTTGTTTTATTTCAGACCTTAACAAACAGATGGCTCAAACTTCTGTAGCTTTACAAAATGAATATGCTACAACTTCTGTAAAAATGAATAAATAAATATTAAAAAATAAATGGTGTGCTTCCTGTTTTACAGAGGTAGCTATACAAAACAGACATCTTCTGTTTAAAATAAGTGTTTTCAGTGCACAGTAACGTAAGCAATACAGTAACAGTACAGTCTTACAGTAATGTAATTTACATACTACTAACAAAAAAGTGCAATCTTACAACTGTAAGTTGCATAAACTCCTGAATAAAACTAACTACGTAGCCTCTAACACTGGCCAATCATTCACCATCCTCATCCTCCATCCCCCTCTCCCTCATTGTCCCATCTCCTCCCCCTCCACCATCTCCTCCCTCTCAAATGCTCCACTGCGGACTCGTTGGTTATGGTAAAGGAAGACCAAGGCTTTGAGGTTTTGGTTGGTAGTTGATCTTCTTCGGTTAGACAACAATAGTTTGTAGATGCTGTTGCTGCGTTCAGCATCAGCTGAGTTTGAGACAGCATCTTGTACCGCTTGGCCAAGGAACTCAGCACAGGAAGTCTCTCCTGTAGGCCATCCCAAAACACATCCAAATCCACCACGCCGAATGGTGCAGCTCTGAGTGCTGCTGGACCAAGAGTCTTGAAGTAAGAATCAAATTCATCACCCTGCACTTCAGTGGAAACCTGGAATGGCCTTGTAGCTTGCTACAGGAGTCATCTAGGAATGCAATGTGGCGAGGGTCAAACACCCTAACCTCCTGGAGAAACTCAATGGCCGGCTGCCCATGTGACATGTACTTGGTGAGCTTTTCTTCAGCGTTTTCATATGCCTGACCAACTGTGCAGAGGATCTGTGTCTTTGTGGTGTAAGGTAAGTTAAACCCTTCAAAGTATTCGGCACACGCCTCATACTGCAGCTCTTTGTTGGCAGCAAAGACCACCTGCAGATCCTCCAGATAAGTGAAGATCTTTGTGGTCACAGGACGTCTGCTCTGGAAGATATCGAGAAGACTTAGGAAGCGTTTGCACTTGTCAGCCATGATGTTGATCTGGACATTCAGGGACTGAGCTAGGTCTTGGTCTTGAAGCATCTCGTGGAGTCTCTCCACAGACTGTGGAGCACTTCTGCTACACACCTATAAAAACACAAATATAAAGAAAGGAATTAGGTCAAACATACAATATGTTCAATGCAATTATTTTTTTACTTTGATCTTACTAAACTATTCATGTTTGTATGTGCAAAGGGGGTTAACTGATGAAGAAAATGAAGTTTTAATGGTATTGAGGAATTATGTGAAGGAAGTTTTTACCTCGATTTCCATCTCTATGAACTCCTTGTACAGTCCAAAGTGCTGTGCGTGGTACTGCACTGCAGAGAACCAGGAGTTCCAGCGTGTTGCACAGGGGTTTGGAGGCATGACCGCCTTTTTTCTAGGCAGCTTGTTTGACAAGAAGCAGAGGTATCTTCTCTTGCGTGATCCAGCATTGAAGAACATCTGGGAGAAACTTAGCATGAAGCTGTTCAACTGAACAAAAGGTTTGCGGAAGGCAATGAGATTCATTATGTGTGCCATGCATGTGATGTGTATCGAGTTGGGGAACAACGACTGCAGAGCTGCTGTGAATGCCTTCTTCATGTAGGCTGCATTATCAGTGTCGAACACAATCACATCCTCGTTGTTAATGCTGTATTCTTGAAGGCACCTTACGACAGACATGGATACAGTGGAATGATTGCATTGCTCAAGGAAAACAGTATCTGCAAGGTAGGCCAAGATCCTCCCAGAATGATCCTTCTCAAGTGGTGCAAGGAGGATATTCAGGACACATCTCCCCTCGACATCTGGAGTCTCATCAAATATCACAGCAAGAGGTTTTCTGGCAAGAAGTGTCTTCAGCTCCTCTTTTCCTTCTCATATACTGCTCCCAAGTACATATCTTGAAGCTGGTGAAACCCTGGAATGGCGCCGCCATTGATGACTTTCTCATTCAGAAATTTCCTCAGTGCAGGGTGGTCAGTCTTAGACAGTGGGATGTTGATGGCAGTGCAGGTGGCAACCCAGGTTTCACAAATCTACAAACAGAAAAATACTTTTGTATCATTGGGCTGTATTACACACACACACAAAGTCCAGTGTAACCTACAGAAAACTGCTGTATAAAACTGAATCATTTACAGTAAGCCTTTCACAGAACAGTAGTGTTTCTGCAAATAAAACATAATTCTTTCATGCCAAAATCAATCATCTTGCATGGGAAATTACACTACTGTTAGTCTATCTAACCCTAACGTTAACTTACATCCACACACAACATACTTGGAAATCTCATTCACACACACCTCTCTCTGTTTCAATTTAACTATCAGCCTTTTCATAATTTTACAAGCTTTAATCTAATAGGCTACTGACCTTGATTCTTTCAGCCCTAGCAACTGTTTTGGAAGTTGACGCCTCGGTGTAGGTGAGCTGCTTCATCTTGGCTGATTCCGCTGCTGCTTTAACCATCCTCGAATGTTTGTCGGTTGCAAAGTGACTGTCCAGCGTCGACTTCCGCCTGTGGTCCAACACGCAGTTGCACGGAGTGCAAAATAATTTGCCCCCACTGTCATGTAACACACTGGGAAACTGCTTTGCGCGGTCTTTTGCGCTTATGTTTGTTGGCAAATGAGAAAGATTTGCGGGCTTCATCATGGTTTCATTGGCATCGCGGGGTTTGCAGCTTTTCAATGATGTCGCGTAATGAGTGACGTCACTTCATAACGTTCCCATGGCAACAGGGGAATG